CCAATATAATGGCGCGAAAAAATTAGTGGGTTGATTATCACGTTATAGGCTTGTTTCAAATTTCGCTCGAGACTTTGTGTCACCGTGTTTGGGTTCCTACAATTATTGATTACATTTCATCATTTGCAGCTCTGTTTAAGAGTTAGTCTTGCTGACTTTTTCAAACCTCTTCTACTGGACTTTTATTGAGCTATTTCATGGACTATTATACTCGTCCAATGTTACCTAGAGAAAACCAATCATCCACAAAAGCAGTGATCTGATGACTACAAATAAGTAGAACAGCTGAACAGGAAGAAGACCTGTGGCGTTTATTTTCACCACTCATTAAACCGCTCTGTTTTGTAACCATAGTTACAGCACTTCAAACACTTCTCTAAAGGATAACAAGACAAGACTTTCACTTCTAACCTGACACACACAAACACAATATCAAGTACGACAAACATTTTGTCAGTCAGAAGGTAAGAAAAATATTTGTGGGGTACTTTTCTACTTTCACTCAGAAGGTAAGAAATATCTCTGTGAGCTACTTATCTATCGTTCTCAAAATATCATCCGAAGGTCATAGAGTGCTTGTGACCAGTCTAACTATGATCAAATCGTGTGATGCTTAATGTTAACTACCATGAGCAAAACGAGACATAAAAAACTTAGGCCTCTGTACTTTACATACATTGTTCAATTTAAAGTTGTTACAAAGTTAATTTTCATGTTAATAACGTGCAATGCTGTTCTATCGTACTGAAGAGTATTTTAAGACAAAAAAGGATAGATTGTCAAAATTTTGTATTTCAGAAGTGATCTTATTGCTCCTAACTCTAATGCCGCAAGTTATAAGGATAAATTGTTAAATGTTTGTATTTCAGAAGTGATCTAACACCTTGGCGGTAGCAAGTCTGCAAAAATTTGTTTCTAGCTCCTAACTCAAATACCGCAAGTTATAAGGATAAATTGTTAAAGGTCTGTATTTCAGAAGTATCTAACACCTTGGCGATAGCAAGTCTGCAAAAATTTGTT